GAGACTAACGTCGGCCTCACCTAATTTAAGGATATTATCGAGGATTTCGCCCTTTCCCCCTATTTTTTCTACCTCTTCCTCGGGAATCTTAACGAGATAAACGCGTACTTACTCCGTTAATATCCCTACTCGAGCTTAACTACCTTCTACCGTACGAGAGGGATTACGAAGACTCTTAAAGATCGACTAAAGACTCTTAATTCTCGACTCTCGGCCGGCCGGAGTCTAGTCCGAGGTAGCTATTACTACTAGTATCTCTTACCGTCGCGAGTCTATACCCGATTAAAAGACCTTAAAGAAAAAGAGGTAACGGACGAATATATCTACCTAACGGTCGTAAAGAGCTTTATCGCGATTATTAAGCTCCGCCTTAAAATAGGCTATCCGTAGGTCTTTTTAAACGCGTTAGGGGTTAATATTTCCGAGCTCCGTAGTTAAGAGTAAGGTTTCGTAGGCGTCCTAGACTACCTACGGAGGCCGACTCGGTTATTAGAGACGGATACGATCGAGGTCTACTAAGTCTTAAACGATCTTAGTATCGTTAAAATCGTCTAGGCGCGCGAGAGTATTGAGGACGATAACGGGCGGAAGCGATAGAGAGTATTAATATAGCTATCGACGAGAAAACGTTTAAGAAAACCGATCCTCTCCTCGTAATTTACGAGAGTTCCCTCGCCGAAGTTATATAGGATACGAGAGGCCTAGGGAGGTTAAGTATATAAATAGACTCTACCTAAGTTATCTAACCTATAGATTAAGAAGAGCGAGGTAACGCGGGCCTTAAAGAATATAAAGTCCTCCTCGATTTTTTCGAGGCGCGCCGTTCGCCCGTCGAAGGGGGTATTCGACGTAAGTTTACGCCGCCTCGAAAAAATCGAGGGACGCCTCGGAATATTCGAGTTCGTAATATTCGAGCTTATAATATTCGAGCTCGTATAATTCGAGGAGAAGGTCGAAATTTTCGTAGTAACGGAGTAGCGCTTTAATACTATCGTAGAGGCTACTATAGTCGAGTTAAGAAGGGTACTAGACTTAAGAGATTTAATACTATATAGGAGGGTATTAGACCTAATCCTCTAGAAAACCTTAGCGAGGTAAGGTTATTTTAACCCTCTCTTCTTTCCTTCTAACCTTTCCTTCTTTATCCTATCTACTCTATCTCCGCTGGCCCGCTCCTACCTCGTTTTTTTCGAATAATCTAATAGTCTATCTAGTCTTAAAAAAAACGACTACTAACTTACTAAAAACGACCTTAAAAAAACCGACTTAAAATACCTAAGGTTCTAAAGACCCTAAAAAAAGCGAGTAATAGCTCGAAAAAAACGCCGACTCCCTTACTATCCTCGACCGCTAAGGTTACCTCTATTATACCGCCTTCTAGTACTAGTAGTCTCCTTAGGTAAGGACCTCTTACCTAGAAAAATACGAAAGTTAACTCGAAAAAATAGAGCGAGGGCTAAGGACTAGCGTAAGAAGGGCTTTAGCCGTATTAACCGCCCCCTCCTTACTAGTAAGTCTACCTTTAAGGATAAGCTTAAGTAAGTTCGAGAAAAACGAGGTATAGCCCTTTTTTTTTTAGCCGATTCCTACTACGGTTCCCTTAATTTTTTCGAGCTCCGGCCCCCTTTTTTTTTAGCTAAAACCTAACCGCTAACTATCGTTTTTTTCGAACTAGAGCTCGGTTTTAGTAAGGTAAGAATAATCTAGCTATTAAGACTAAGTACTAGAGTTACTATAAAGAAAATAAGGTAATTTTCGACTCCTACCCCGAAAAATTTAACCTAAGCTTACCTCGAAATTTTCTAGGTTATCCCCTTCTAGATCGGTACGACTCCGGATAATACTAAGGATAACTTCTACCTAGCCTACGGGTACCTAACTAAGGTAGGTATAACCCTTCCCTCGATTTCTTTAACTACTAACTTAAAAAAATAATACGCGTTAATAGAGGAGCTCTTAGTAGTTTTCGACGTATACTTCCGCGACCTTAAGGGGAAGAAGGTAAGAAAAAAACGAGTCCTCCCTTAAAAAAAACTAACTAAGAGTAGAAGGAGAAAGATAATAAGAGTAGAGACTTTACTATAGCGCCCGACTAGTACCGCGCTAACTATCTCGAGGTCGGTTTTCCCGACTCTCCTCTTAAAAAAAACTAATACGGACTTAACTAGTTAAAATACTTATCTATAACGTAGATAAGGTAGAGGACTAGAAGGTTAGTTTAAAAAACTCGCTACGCCCCTCGATTTTCTCTAACCTAGATATAGTTTAATATTAAAGAAGTATATAAGGTTCTCGTAGCTAAAGGCTAGGAGTACGTATTATAATTAGTTTTCCCGATCCTTAACTCGTCTTTTCCGACTAAGAGTCCTAACCGTTATATTTCGAAAAAACCGAGGTAAAGGTCCTTCGTACTATAGATAACGGTAGTAAGTAGCTATATTTAATTTTTTTAAGTTAAAGCGCTCTAGACTAGGTATATAGATTAAAGTAGACTTAGATTACATTTTTCGAGGGACGTCTATACGAAATTTTATAAAGATAAAGGTACTTCTAAATTTTCGACTTAAGGGCCGAAAACTCCGACTAAAGAGTCGAAAAATATAAGATAGAATAAGCTCCGAAAAAAAAGACTACTCCTTAGAAAAAAGAGACTATACTCTCGAAAAAAACGAGGCTTCTTAGGTCTCGTTAAACTTAACTTTAACGAGATCTAGTAACCCTCGAAAAAAACGAGGCTAGCCTCGTCCGGTCGGGGGTAGGGTTAGAGTCCCTACGTAATAAAACCTTAAATCGATCTATAATTAAGTATATAACGCTATATAGTTTCCGCTCTAATTTTACGACCCTTACTTCGATTACTCTATAAATTAAGGTATAGATAGAACTAGAGTTTCTCTATCGATCGAGCGTAAAAAATAAACTTCGAAAATTTCTAGTTCGCGAGATATACTATATTTTTCTTTCTATCGTTAAACTTAAGTAGAGTTACGACTATAATAGTAAAACTAGACTAAGGAGCGAGAAAATAAGAGTAGTTTCTAGTATAATACGACTAGTAGATCGTAAAAACCGAAAAAACGAGCGAATTTTACGATAAGTACTAAGAGTTATTCGACTTTCTATTTCCTTAGTACTTATCGTATAAAAAATCTTAGTATCTTTCGATAGGTACCATTAAGTAGGGTAGTAGCTTATAGATAATAAAGACGATAAGATTCTTAGTAAATTCTAGTACTTTATAGTAGTAGTAATTAAAGACTATCTCGAAATCGAGACCGGTAAACTAAAATACGATTAGTAGTAGTTCCTACGATAGATAAGTTAAAAAGCTATACCTCTATTAGATATCGATACGTATTACTATTCTCCGCGCGAAAGACCGGGCTAATCTTAAAGATACTCTCGTAATCCCTAGTAATAAGTATCTACTTATATAACTACGGAGACTAAGTAAGGAATCTACTCTTACTAAAATAGTTATTTACTTTAAAGACTCTAGAGCCGCCTTCTATCGCCGTACTAAGGAGCTTAGGTATATTAAACTTACGGGAGCTAACCTTACGTATAAATTCTTTAAATAGTCCTTTAATACCCGACGAGATAGTAAAGATAGCTTAATTATACTCTATCTATAGATTAATTACCTAGTTATTAAGACGGGTTTTTAGTGTAACGATCGGAACTCCCTCGGGATCGACTACTAGACCTTCTTCTTCTCCCGTTATTAATAGTAGCGGCGGTTCCTCATTACCTATCCTACTACGCCTTAACGGCCTATAAGATTAAGGATGTTAATACCCTATACGGCGAGTACCTCGAAGGCTTCTAGAATATCCGTATTATAGGTAATAACGGTAAGATTAAGTTAGCTATTAAGAATACCTTAACCGGCGTCGTACTCGCCGATATATAATCTACATCCGCCGCGGCTTTCCGAATATCTACGTTACCCGCGACGCCGTCGTCGGCCTAATCCTTAGCGTCCTTCCCGGTAAGGTCTATAGTGATCTACGGACTATAGCGTCGAGGAATACTATAGAGGAGGGGTTTTAAGTACCGTTTAAGGCTATTAATAGCCTTAAATAGGAAGATAATTAAGGAAGATAGTCGAGGAAGATAGTTAAGGAAGATAGTCGAGGAAGATAGTCGAGGAAGATAGTCGAGGAAGATAGTTAAGGAAGATAGTTAAGGAAGAATATCGAAGAAAACTATTAAGGAAGATAGTAGAGGAAGATAGTAGAGGAAGGATATCGAGGTTAGGTATTAAATATTTCTTAATATTATTAATAGCCTTATATAACTCCCTTACTAATTATAATAATATTACTTTTACTTTTTAATAAAGGTTTAATAACTCTTAAATAATATATTTATTTTATAAAGTATTTAAAGATATAAAATATCCTTAAATAGTAAATTAATATTATTAAATGAAAATATCGTCTATATTATTATTATTATTATTAAGTATAGATATTAGAAGTTTTTAAACCTAAGATAATATTTAAGAGAGTTTAATACTTTTATAAAAGCTAGGTATAGTTTAGTATACCGGTATACTAAAGCATTAATCGGTAGAGTTACTAACTTATTAAAATTCTATTATTATATAAAAACTAGATATAGTTTAGTATACCGGTATACTAAAGTATTAATCGGTAGAGTTACTAGCTTATTAAGATTCTATTATATAGTATTTAAGGATATCCTAATACCTCTAAATACTAATGTAAAAACTAGGTATAGTTTAGTATACCGGTATACTAAAGTACGTAGAAAGTTAAGGTAGGTAAATAGAAAAAGAAAGTAATTTCTATATATAAAGGAGGAGGAAATGTCGGCTTTTTAGGCTTAAATTAGAATAAGAGAGGGATTACGGGACGATTTAAGAAGAGAAATGACGAGAAAAGGCGAAAGAACCCCTAAGATTTTCTAAACCTAACCCGATTTCCCCTACTAGATACCTTATTTTCTCGCGGCCGGATTTCTAGAACCTCACCATGGACCAAATCACCGCGCGCACCCGTAGCTACCAACTAGAGATGTTCGAAAGAAGCATGCAGGAGAATATTATAGTGGCGGTAATCAATCCTCGAGAATATATGATTCCGCGCTGATCTAAAGTTCATAGATGGACGCAGGGAGCGGGAAAACGCATATGTAAGAGCGCGATCGAAACATCTAACTTCAACTCACACATTTCAGTGCATTGCTTCGAATAATGGCTGAGCTAGAGCGCTGCCCATTGGACAAGGTCAGTTACCAGCCAGGTAGGAAGATTGGGATATAATAGGCTGACCATCACACTGCTTATCTGGTTTCTTGCGCCTCATGTTGCTCTATGTGAGCAACAATATAATGCCCTCCGCATTGGCCTCCCCTCAGTGAGAATCAAACTCCTTATCGGCAACGATAATGTGGATCGGTGGAGCGAGCAGCGCATCTGGGATGCGGCACTAGATGGCGTCCGTGTGATGGTGTCAACCCACAAAATCCTCGAGGAAGCTCTCGCGCATTCATTTGTGAAGATCAAAGACCTAGCTCTCTTGGTCTTCGACGAAGGTACACACTTCTTTGTCCTGGGACTGACCTGAGACTGACTGAGGTATCAATAAGCGCATCACTGTATTCGAAAACATCCTGCAAACAAGATCATGGCCAACTTCTACTATCCCAAAAAAAGCGAGCATCCTGATCAAGTTCCACATGTATTGGGTCTCACCGCAACGCCCATTGTGCGGTCAAAGCTCCATGAAATGAAGTCTGTCTCCCTGATGGTAATATATTCGTTGACTTAACCTTTTTTCAGCACGGTCGAACGCAATCTTGACGCCATCGCAGTGACAACAAAACTCCATCGTGACGAGTTGTTTCGCTTTGTTCATCGACCAGACTTGGTCCCTCTGGTATACAAAATCGACTGCCTGGCCAATGCCAGCACTGCTCTAGAGAGGCTACGACAAATATGCTCAGCTCAGGCTGTCTCTCCGGCGCCTACTGACGCTTCACGATCTAAAAGCATACCCCAGCCTCCGTGGAAAGAGCAACTTGCCAAGTTTCGAACCAAGGCACACCACGTTTTGAACGAGTTGGGGCCTTGGGCCACCGACTTATTCATTCTGGGATCGATCAAAGTCTTAGAAAAGTCGGGTGGGCACAACACTAGCCTCTTATTCAGCTGGACAGATCAGGAGCATCGAGTTCTCACGAAACTCCTCTGCAAAGATCCTGTGCTCTCGCAGCTTCAGTACGATATTGCACCAAGTCATAACAACGTCTCAAAGAAAATGGCCTGTCTACTATCCTTCCTTGGATCAAGAGACGCGAGCCAAAGCACCGCTATAATATTTGTTCAACAGCGAGTGATAACTGGTCTCCTAAGCCAGCTCCTTTCGGCCCATCCCTCCACCAGCGGAAGTTTTCAGTGTGCGGCATTTGTTGGCATGTCTCAGAATCGGGGTAAAAAGTACAATTTGCCTGAACTCCTCGACATGAAGGAACAGCTGCAAACCCTCGCCAGTTTCCGCGCGCGAGCCAAAAATGTGATTGTTGCAACCAATGCCTTGGAGGAAGGCATAGATGTACGAGCATGCAACCTTGTCATCTGCTTTGACCTCCCACAAAACTTGAAGTCTTTCATTCAACGGCGGGGCCGGGCTCGACAGGAAAAGTCCGTGTTTGCGCTGATGTTTTCGGAAGAGGAATCCCAAGATAGGCTGGCAGAGTGGAAAACACTCGAGGAAGACTTACAGCGCTTGTATCAGGATGCCTCAAGATTGAGAGTAACAACACTACATCTAGAGCAAAGTGAGCGGGTAGATTACTCACTCAAATCATCAACGACCGGGTAAGTCTATCCTCTTATCGGAGAATATCTCTCTAACAACAGGACAGTGCAACGCTCACTGCCGAGGACACTATGGCCCATTTACACCACTTCTGTGCTAAGCTGCCCGTCGAACCGTTCTCCGATATGCGACCAATGTTCTCATACAAGCAAGAGCCGCCTGGATCAGAGGAGATCACTGCAGTCGTCACCCTCCCAAACTGTGTAGACGCCTCGGTTCGTGTTGCAACAAGTCTCCATAAATGGAAGACGGAGAAAAATGCAGCGAAAGACGCCGCGTTTCAAGCTTACGCCGGGCTGTACTCTGCCGGCCTTCTCAACGAGAACTTGTTGCCACTCTCTCATGATTTTGAGATGCAGCTGGACGTCTTGGACAAGCTTGGATCCCAAGTCGACATAGACCTGGAATACAGTCCGTGGCAGCTTGTCGCTCAAGCCTGGTCATCGACGTATGTATACGATCTTGCGGTGCAGTTCAATTTCCATGAACGCACCGAGCGGCCGCCTGTCACAATGAAACTCGCCTTTCCTTGTGAATTGCCTGATCTACAGCCACTGAGGGTGCAGTTGACCGCGGATGCGACTGTCTATATGACATTTCAACACGATCGCAGACGAAGATTCATCACTCCGACTGACAGGGATCTCATGAGGAAAGTGACGCATATCATTAGCCGCTCGACGCATTCTGACTACAGCTCGGACGACAGAATTGACTTCCTAGCTCTTTTTGCGCCAGTCATGGAAGACATGATGCTGCAGACTTGGCTCACTGCTAACAAAGGGAGAATTAAGGCATTGGAGCTTGTGAGCGTCTCTCGCAGCCTGATCCCTCGGGGATTCGTCCGGCACACGACAGAAGGACGACAGCCCCAGATTTTCAACTCGTGGACGGTAAATAAGGATACTGCAACCTCAAATTTGCATCAAATTACATGCACTCCACTTCCAAGCAGAAGAAATTTCAGGATTTCTCCCCCTGAGAATTCTGGGGCGGGAAAACTGAAGATCAGGAGCGACAACAAGGAAGAACACCCGAAGCTCAACTACTATCCCCTCGAGGAATGCACTATAGACCGTCTTCCCGTGGGAATCGCACGACTCAACCTTCTGCTCCCCACGATCCTCCAACATATCGCGAACGCGTGGATCGCGGACCGGATGTGCCAAACAGTTCTGAAAGAAATCCCGTTCCGATCCCTAGATCTCGTCATCACCGCCATCACCCCACCGAGCGTGCAGTGGTGTACGAATTACGAAACGCTAGAATTTCTCGGAGATTCGATCCTAAAGCTAGTCGTGTCTATACAGCTGTATGACCGCCACAAGAATTGGCCTGAAGGGTACCTCACGCTGAAAAGGGCCGTGTTAGTGTCGAACCAGTATCTGGCCAAGGCTGCGTTAAAAGCAGGTTTGTCAGCATTTATCAGGACGACTCCTATATCTTGGAAGAGGTGGTCGCCAATATTCATATCGGACATGATGGCCAAATCCTCATGTGCCGCTCGAACGGTCCGCATGAAAGTCCTGGCGGACGTTGTCGAAGCCCTTATTGGGGCTGCTTTTGTCGATGGAGGTTTTGGCTCAGCGGAAACCTGCATTCGCCATCTGCTCCCTGGTCTGGACAATGAAAAGCTCTCCTTCGCAGTCCAGACAGACAAGGGGCAAATGATCGCCAACCAAGACAGGTTTGAAAGCGTTATCGGATACGAGTTCCGCCATCCTTGTCTGTTGGTCGAGGCGTTGACGCACCCTTCCTGCGAAAGAGATCGATTCTCCCAATCATATCAGCGACTTGAGTTCCTTGGAGACGCGGTACTCGATTCAATCATCGCCTCGCAGCTCATGACGCATAAGGTGTCATCACGGTCACCAGGAGTGATGACCCGTGTCAAATCAGCGATGGTAAATGCCCATTTGCTTGGATTCTTCTGTATGGAATTCTATCGTACCGAAGAATTTGAATTCGTGCAACAACAACAACCTGACGGGAAGTTTAATATTGAGACAGAAACGACCAACATTTATCTGTGGCAACTTATGCGCAGTCACAATGACGTGGTCCGGGATCGTCGAATTGATAGCCTCGATCGATTCGAGAAACTAGGTGGAAGCATCCGACGGCAGCTCGACGACAGCTCGGAATATCCCTGGCTTGACTTGTCTATGTTGCGGCCTGAGAAATTCTTCTCTGACATTATCGAGAGCCTGGTAGGAGCCATATACGTAGATTCCAAGGGGTCTCTCGAAAAATGTTCAACTTGGCTCGATTACATTGGCCTCATCAAATATCTCCGGCGCGTCTTGGATGAAAATATTGATGTTGTTCATCCAAGGACGAAAGTGGATTGGAAGACAGGTGCACAAACTACTGAGTATAAAGTCAGCAAGATGGCTGATCCGGCGGAGAAATTTCAGTGCATCTTGTTAGTTGATGAAAAGACTTGTGTTCAAGTTGACGGCTACGATACTTCTGATGTTGCGATTGTTGCTGCTGCTCAGAAAGCGCTCAGTATCCTTCCGTGATGTTTCCGCAGTTTGTAGCGATTCGAAGAAGTTGGTACAATTTTCAATTCAAGAGCACTTGATTACCAGGGCCAGAAGCTGATGACACCCTCCTGCCTCAGCACTTGAGTCACAGAAGTCTTCCGATACAGTAAAACTATCTTCTTCTCTCCTAGCCATTTGGCACGCAGCTCCGGGGGAAGAACATAATGCATTGCCTGACGTATTGGACCAAACTGCCAAGTTGCCTTTTGCAACCCTGAGAATTTCGATTCTCCAGTTCACCTGCTTCTGGGCGAGGACATCCAGTAGGTTCAATACTTCCTTCAAACGCTCCAAAGTCTCTTTGTTGTTATCCTCCCAGTCTTCCACACCTGCTCGAACATCCTTGATTTGGACGTCCTTGAAAGCACCTCGATCGTGGTAAGCGACGATGAAGTTTGGGACCTGGTTAACCCATAGTCGGACATGCATTTCGTTCATATCCATACAGTTATGGGGTGCTCTTGTCTTTAGATCGAAAATGGACTCTTGTGGGCAGACATGTTCCCCGTGACAAACTTTCAGTGCTTTGGAGTCGGTGAGGTCTGAAGGGACGTCATCCGAGAAAACTTTAGTTCGAGCAAATGCAGAGGCAACGTCCTTACTGTTCCCAGAGGCAGTGTAACTTCCAGGGCGTTTGGCCTGATTGTCATCTTCCAGCTTCCGTGGGAAATATCCGTCTGTCTCAGGTCTGACCCCAAGATTCAGTCCCCCGAAAGAATATGACACCAATCGTTGGTGAGACTGGGATCCAATACAAGCTGGGTCCCAGTTGGTATAGGCTTCAGGAAACATATGCCCATAGCCACGAACGTCGGGAATGGTGTCACAAGGATTGTTTTCCTTCCTGATCAGGAACACGTGTTTCCCACCTCTCAGCCACGAATCTGAAAGTTCTGTCTCGCTCCCCAATGAAGGCAAGCAAAGAACCCATCGTGTTGCCGCACGCAAATACATCAACCTCTTGTCCATCGAAGTCAGGTTTCATCGTGAATATGGCGCGAACGCCAGGCTCCGTAGGATATGGGGCATATTGAGAGGCATTCTTGTCTCTGAAATATGTGCCTCTGTCCTGCTTTAGAGCTGGAGCATGGACTAGAGGTGCCCATCTTGGAGGGCTGCCTGGGAGGAAGCGGACGAAGCCGTTCGTGAGGAAGTTCACATACCTGGAACCAGGATTGTCGGTTTGTCTCTTGCCAACCGATTATACGAGGTTACGTAGGAGGCATCAATAATCTTGAGGATCTCGTCCTTCTCGCCGGCCTTGAGAGCGGAGGCGCGGATGGCCAGCAAATGCTTCTGGGATGGTAGTATCGGAGGGAGTTCCGGAAAAGGGTGTGCGCCTCACTTTTGGCAAGAAGAATAAGTCGCTGCCATCTTTGAATCTGAGCGGCGAGGTAGGTGGTCGCGGAATAAAGACAGAGGGATGGGAAGATTCCAAGCGCAAGCGATCGAGGTGCAGCTTCTGCAAGTGTTTTCAAGGTACCATCTTGCTGACGAGGCGAGACTAGACAAAGATGAGAGGGGGAGGTGTTTGCTCACTGCAAAACTGCATGGGCGACCATTGGGTGCGCTTTGCATCCAATCACCTCCTTAATCTGTATGTGAGCTGGCTACAGAAAGTAACCTCTTGCTGTCCTCATCGCTAGCTTCCACTGTTTCCAGGTATTCTGTGCTGCAGAGTTTATTGTGAGGGTGAATTCCCCCGAGGCAAATCTCCTACCACCTGACTGCCGTATGTTACTTGGGACATCGAGGAACTCCTGGCTAGATTGGAGAAAATCGTGCCGAGGACCTCTTGACTCCCGGACTGCGAGGATGGGATTCAACTGCCATATAGCTGATACATAGAACGACGGTTCGTTGGAAACGTGCCTTCTCCGCCTGAATACGGGTATGCTCTTCCCGCCAGACGCGTTGTGCCTCCAGTCGCGCTCGTTCTCACTGCTGGGCTTCCTCGGCCGCTCGCGCTCACGCTTCCAGGGCTTGCCGTTCCTCGATCTGTACTCGTTGTCGTGTTCGAGCCAGCCGAAAGACCGAAGGAGCGACGACGAGATAACTGGGAGGCAGCTTGAGCGTGTCGTCTTTGTTCCTCCTCAATGTGGGTCATTCTCTCATCGTGTCGTCGCATCATCTCGGCGACCTGCAATTCGCATTAAGAGGGTTGGGGGCTCCTGACTTCCCATTGTTGTATGTGATGAGTCGCTTCGCCGAATCGCATTCGCAAGATTGCATTTTCTACCCGGGAAAGGAGAAGGCGACTCTTTAGACAATGAGATCTTATGTCCGCAGTCATTCTACTGTCCAAGGCAGCCTATATCAGCGCATCAGATTCGTCATCACTCGGGGGACACTAAAGGACATCGGCTCTAGCTCTGCTCCTCAGCTCGAGCTATCAATCTGATCTGACATTTAGCCTTCTCTACGAAACATCCAAAACCAAGCGTCCTCGGCTGTAGCGGCAAACAGGCTATGGTACCAGTGCCCTCCCTACATACATCTAATACCCCTATACACGTCTGATATTTCTGCCGTAACGTCGGATTATCGCCTATATTACCACCTCCTATTTTGTATTGCATCCACTGTCTATCCACTATCACTGCCTCGCACTAATCCACTCATCTCTATCCTCTACATCAAGTCTTCGTCCTCTCTTGTACCATCAACGGGAATTCGATTTGTTAGATCCACCTCGATCGGAAAGAAGCGTGGCCATGCTCCTTCGCGGAAAAACCGTTGACAATGCTGATTGACTAGCCACGGATTTTCAGGTCGGTATCTCTTTTTCGACTTGACATTTCCACCACGGCTTTGTGGATTGACCCATCCGTGTCCCTCCCTACAATGTCTTTTTATACTGTTGTCGCTGTCGTTGCAAGTGTAGTAGCACGGCTGGCCGTCTACTTGTGACATCAAGCATACCATAACCTTGTCGAATACTGGTAAGGCTTGGATACGTCCACTCGTGATAGCTGGGCATATTACCTGTTCTGGTTGATGGGCTAAATATGATAGGGTTCCGATATACTGCACTATACTTTTACGAACGGCTCGTGGGATGTGAGGGTGGTGCTTTCTGATGTGGGCTTCTACGTGGGAGGGAACTACCGCAAATGGATCGGGGTATGCGTCGTAGATGATCACGCGATATTGCGGGAGGTGGATGAAGAGACTGCCGAATGCCTGCTGGGGGGTATATTGGCCTTCATTAACAGAATGTAGACTGATACGACATTGTGCGCGAGCTAGTCTTACTTAGGTTGATAATGGGTTTTGCCTCCGCCATGATTCGGTTCGAGCCTGGACCTCAACTTCTGGATATGGGTGGTTCTTGGGAGACCGAATGCTCATCTCGGGCCGCTCTCTTGAGCTAGAGTTGAAGGCTGTGGAATGACCGTGTTGTTGACTAATGGAGATATCGTTGATGTTAATCTCCGCGAGCGGATTTCGAGCGACTCCCTGTTGAGCGTATATATTTCGCTATGACGGCATCGAGCTAGAAATGATTTGGTCCTGGCTTGAGACGTGATTCGTGGAAGGAATTCTGGAACCTGTTTTCGTGGGTGGGCTGGAAACTCTAAGGAAATTGTGCCACCGGAAAGACACCTTGCGATATGCCTCCAGAAGAGCAGCGTCGACAATATGAGAGAAGGCACCATCTCGACCATAGTTCGACGCTCGCACCCGCGGTCGATGCCCACTCTGCCATGAAAATGCTACATCAGCTGGGGCATCGACGCTACAGTCATCGTAACGATTGAATGGACGGGCGTTCTCTCGAACATGTGTTTCGGTGATGGCAATCATCACTTGACGAAGTAACCGCGACCCCATTGGATACCCAAGAATGCAATTGCTACTCTGGCGGAAAGCGGAAGTAAGATCATTAGTCGTCCAATGGCGATAAGAGGCTTGTCGAGCAACCACCGGATTGGTGGAAAATAGGAGATCGTTGGTGGTAGGTACCTTGAAAGCATGTTGATCAACGGCCGAACGTATACCATCTCATAGAACAATACACAACGAAGTGAAGGTGACGAAAACCGCGCTACACAAAATTCGCGATTAGTGTTGTGTTGGGCTTTGGTATATCGCACGAAAGTCATCATCGTCCAGTCATAGACGTAAACGCCACGCGGGCTCATCGGACCATTTCGTAATAGGATGGTAAACATCTCACCGAGACGAGGCACTCCCCCGTCGTTGGTGGCCATAGCTTGCCCTAAGGCGTGGAGCGCTCGATCGTGTAGTTGAAGATACTCAATAACAGCCGGAAGATCCCATTCACCGTATTGAATCAGCGCGTTTGGGCCCATACCGCAAACACTGGTGGAAAGCTGAAGATATACATCGTATAATCGGTTGGCTGGATCATAGACGAACGAGTATCCTGGAGTGTTATTGCTGAAGCTATCCTTGATACCCTCTAATGATACTTCGGGTCGCCATTGGCGCACCAGCTGATCGTATAAATCGGCGGCGGAATCAGAGAGCGACCGGGCAAAACATCGAAATTGATCCATGTGGAGGCTGTGATCATCGAAGAAGATGGTCTGGCGATCATCGCTCCATCGCATAAAGAATGCCGGCAGTTCTAAACGGAGCATACTTCTGCCGTAATCAAGGAGGCTAATCATCTCGCCTAGGGGTGTCAAGGAGCCGGCACACATGTACCGGCATCGAACTGAGTTGAGAATTTCCAGGTGATCGCGGCCCGGTCGAACAGGGATTTTCAGGTGTGGATATTGGCGACAAGGAAGAATATCTTCGAGAAATAGAAGGAGCTGAAGATGAATTAATGCAGATATTGTGGGCGTATGAAGACGAGGAGTCTGAAACCCGGCTCCGTCGGTTGTGAAGGCGAGAATACCGCTGATGTAAACGGGGCCGCTGGAGGAAGGCTGTCCATCTGTAAATTCGTCCCGACACAGTAAGATGCTAAGTTTGAAGGTCAATTCGCTCAGAATGTCGCTTCCGGTATTGCGATTGTTAACCAGAGGTATAGGCAAGCTAGCATCTTCGGCGCGGTCGTCGAGGATATAATCGTTATCCTCGTCGCCTTCGTCATTCTATGCCTCGTCATCTTCTTCACCTTCCTCCCTATCTTCTTCATCTCTATCCACTTCGATCTCTGATGGATTCAGGCGTAAGTCAGGTTGACTCGAGATGATGGACCATAGCTTCCTGATGACTGTGATCTGGGCTGCGGTGAACGGAATGCCTAATGCGCGAAGAACCGATGGCTGGAACCGAACGCTCCGGAGTCCTACACCCAAGACTTGTCTTCAACGCCGTCGATACTTGCGGCAAGTTTCGTCCTGTCCGACGAGCTGGAAAGGAGCTTTGAAGGGCCGGGAAGGGAATCGACTTCGAAGCCAGCATAAAATTGGGTGGCCAGTGCGTCGCACAGTCTCCTCGCAACGATCAAAAGCAACGTCAACGTGCTATAGTATGCGGTGGATCCTTTCCTCATCTTCGGCAGAACTCCAGAGCTCCTGGTTGCCCACGGTCCCGAAGTGCTTTCTGAATTACCGACCATCACGGTCCGGCAATAGAGCTAACTGATAGAGGACATCACGCGGACGATCGCGGTATTTCTCGTACCACCGTGTTCGTTGATGCCACGGTCGAATAAGTGATAGTTCCTGTCCAGCCGTTTCCAAGGACATGGGCGTAGCATCCACTTTTTGTAAACGCGTCCGTTCTTGCGCATGGATCTGAAGTAGAAGGTTCGGTAACATGGGTCTCTCAGAGAGCTCTTGGGATGGAAGCATCGTAGTTCGGCGAGTTTTGCGAGGGCGAGGTGGAGTTAATTCAAGACTGGTACTGTAAGATACCGTGGAGTGAACAATCCACCACTGACAACGATATACGCCACCACTGGTCCAGCATTGGAGAGACATTCTATCATAGTCGCGCATGGCTCGGGCTTGACGTTTTGAAATGCCATGCTGAGACGACGAGTGCCGAAAAAGGGTTTGCTCGCTTGAGGTTGGAGATCGACTGGAGACGGGACAGCGTCGACACGCGTAGCCAGGCTGAATTCTTAAAGACGGATCACAGGGCGATCCGTCTTTACGAGGAGTTAGCTGTGCTGCGTCCTTCAGCTCAAGGGTCTTGAGATGGCGTTCTAGACGATCACGGCTGATTAATTCCACGCTCTGATGACTTGCGATAGGCTGCAACACGTAATCGGCACCGATTCTCAAGGCATTCTGGCAGTGGCAGCATATCAACGCTTGCTCTGGGCAGACGAGAATGAGGCGCCATTGATCCAACAGAGTTATTCGCTTCTCGGCAGCCATGACCGAGCCAAACACACGATACTTACACCTCTCCAACGGGTCTTGTACTGCGAGCTCGCGTTCGGCGCTACGCGTTTTCATCTCTCACTACACACGCTAACCCGCAGTTTTTCGCGCTACACGTCTGAAGTGGGTCTCTTACCCGCAAGAAATCTAGCGCTAAACATGAGAATACGCTCAGTAGGATCTTGGAGGAAAAGAACTCTTAGACCTAGTGTCTTAGATCTAGCTAATTAGAAGGTAGGAGTGTCTACCTGTGCATTATGTAGGTAAATTCCACTAATTACGTTCCAGTCTGTAGATTCTCCTATTATAATAGGGAAGCTTCCCTTCCCTCATGCTTTAAGTCTTAGTAAACATATGTGATTAAGGAATACCTATACCTACCCCTTACCTATCGCCATACTCTGCCTATCTATATAGGCTGTTCCTGACAGTTAACCACCTTTAACATCGCTATAGCTAACTTCACTTGGAGTCTTATGAAGTAGCTGTTAGTAATCAGGTCTTAGTTATCTCATCGACCTTATACTGACTAACCTACATATAAGATGGATCCAGAAGAGGTGAACAATTCGCTTTTCACCCTTATACCTAGATAATAACTAATGCTACCTTCAGTAGGGGACTCCAATAGGAGAAGGAAAAGCTATCATGGTGCGCCTTCTTAATTAAGGTCCACCTTGAATCAACTGAAGTCCCACGATATGCCAGGGGATAACAAACTCAGCATAATAATCCTTGAGCCCATCAATACACGCCTTGAACGTTGGCTTTTTCTCAAAATCTTCATGATGAGCCTAGGTCCATTAGCTTTCACAGTCTAGTCGAAGTAAGAGGAGGCCATACGTACATCCACGGACTTCCAGTTGATCAAAAGAAGCTGGTTCTGGGGGTTTTCCAGTAGAGGACTGATGAAATGTCCATCGCACCCAGGGTCGTTATCCAGGATGGGGACGACAATCTTCTGAAACTGGGAATAGTAGCCTTGCACGCCACCTTCGACGACTTTCGTCAGGGCGACCTCGATTGCGGGTGACTGAAGTGTCTTGGTCAAATGTTCCTTGTCGCTAAGTCCGCCTGCTTTAATTGAAGCATGGTTCTGCCATTCAATTTTCCTCCCGTTCATCGCGGGCTGAATGACTTTGTGAAACTCGCTGTATTCGGAGCTTGTGAAGAACGCATGACTTGCCTCTAAGCTCTCCCATAAAAGGAGGGCAACCTGGGTGTGGCGGTCTTCATGCTTTCTCCCTCTCCATATGGCTTGCAGTCCTTTGGTCCTGCTCGTAGCGCGTCAGTGAGCCTCGTTGCAATCGACTAGGAATCGAGTGTCTCATGCAGACCTTTGTAGTATATCAAAAGCTGGAGCGAGGTCCTTATTGATCTCCGCATCGGTGTGTACCGGTCGATGAGGGACCATAATAAGCTGGATAACTTGTGATTGGTCTGCCATGGTGTTTGAGAAGTGCCTTGGTACAATTGTCTGATTGACAGAATGAGCAAGGGAAAGGGAAGCATATGACCACTGCCCTTCACAAGAGAAAACATCGCCATCTTTGAGTTTGACTGGATGAAATGGATCCCCAGAGATTCTCTGACGGATCGTGAGGGTTGTTCCATTGAAGATGACCCCACATTTCGCCCGCTCGATTTGGGCTTCAAGTAAATCGACCGAAATCAGTCCGCCCCACCCAATCGACATCTCCATATTGCCACGCTTTGGTCGAATGCACACTTCGCAGGGAAACCAGACTCGGTTCTCTCTCGCTCCTAATGATGTCTGCGAGGTGTCTTCCAGAATACAATTAGTCATGTGTCCAGGGGCTTTCCCGACCCCCCGGACTTGTCGATTGAAGGACAGCCTTTTGATGTGGGACTTTGCTATTGAGAGGCCATGGCCGTACACTACACCGCGAACGTTTCTGGAGATGGCCACTGTTTCCCTTCGCCTGGCTCTAGCTGAACACCAGTGTGTATACTCCGAGTATCTGGGGAGATTTCGGTCAGACTACGGATCGTAGCGATTATGTTCGATAAATGTACCATTTGGAGAGAATGCTTTGATCGCCTCTCTAGTCAATTGCCCTTGTAATTGCAAAATTGTAAATTCAGTCCATTCTTCCTGTAACAGAAGAGGGCGCACTATTGACATCAAACTCGAACAGCGACGCGACTGCTGTTGCCTGCTTAGCCTTGGAATAAAGCATACTGCACTACAATCACCTTCGTGACACCAGCTCACGCTTCTTCGACACTTTCCACTCGCTTTTCTCCAGTCTTCTCAAATTCGAGCTTATTGACGTCGATAGCAGAGATCTCCACAGCCACATGGTCTCCAAATCTAGCTGCAATTTCTTCCAAGGTCAATCCGGCAGTCTGTTCAAGGTTAATCATCCAATACTTCCTAAAAGGAGCATGAATCTTACCTCAGGACAATACCAGAGAAGGAAGGTGTTGGATACGATGCAGACCGCGATCATCACAAAGTAATAGCGCCATCCTATGGTTGCAAAGGCTTCCGCCGCTGGGCTGTTGTACACGATGGTCATTATGAAGTAGGACACAAAGCCGATCGTCGCACCCTCACTTCGGAGGTGAGTTGGCCAGATTTCAACGATGTAGGTATAGCCAGGACACTCGATAAACAGCCCGAAGATGAAGACAAAGATGAAATACATCGCAGTAGCAGCTTTGAGACCTGCTGCGTTAGAGGATCCGATGTAGTATTTCTGGAGGACTGCCTCAATGATGAGGCAAATACTGCAGAGATAGCCTCCCAGAGCTAGAATAGTGTTAATTGAGCTTGATGAGACGTCAATACGGCGCCACCTACCAAGTTGCTTCACGCGGCCGAGACGTTCAATGAGAAGACTGCTGAGCCAAGTTCCGATTGCACATACTGTGACCCAGACGACGGAAAGCCCCAATTGAAGTACGTTACTGTATCCCAGACCAGCAAAGAGCTGTGGTGCGAAGTTTGCGATAACAACGATTCCAGTCGATTGTCCCATGACCCAAACAATGGATCCACAGATGGCTCGTTTGCGCATGTGAGGCGTTTTCAGGATATACCAGTAACCAGAAGGTAAAGACTATCGACTTTAGTATTCATGTGGCCTTCCTGGAGTTCAATACAACAAACCTTTTCTTCTTCAATCTGCGCCTTGATTTGGATATATTCCATACGTGCAAGTTTCGCCGTGGGGTCTTTCTTCGACTTGTGCAGCTTCTGCAGAACCGCCCAGGCGTCATCAGCTCGTCCATTGTCCTGGGATACGGTGTTAGCATCGCTGTCGCACTTTCTTAAAGGTAGGGCCACTCTTACCATGAGCCACCGAGGACTTTCCGGGATGAAATACATGGTCGCCACCAAGAGTAATGCAACTGCGGTCAGAATGATATATTGCAAGCGCCACTGATAAGAATGATCGACAAAGTGGAACGCGAGAGCGAAGACGGATGAGAAAATGTAGGCGCCGGTGATCGAGATCCCCTGGAAGCTGACCAGAATACCGCGAGTATGAGCGGGCGCAATTTCGCTCATGTAGACTGGCGTATTCGCGATGATGATACCAGCTCCGATTCCATTGAGGACACGAGCAACGAGGAACATTGCGATGTGGACGCTGCCAGCTTGGAGAGCTCCAGCTATCATGATAATGACTGCGGCCGCCATGTTGCAAGGTCGTCTCCCGAAGCGCGAGGATATGGGGCTCTGAATCACACTTCCAATGAAACCTCCACCAAAGAACCTAGCCAGTCAGGTCAGAGATAAAGTGACTAGAAGCGAGGGATGGCCGAGTCCTTACGCTCCAAGCATTCCTCCCACGCGAGACGTTGGGTCCTTCATCAAGAAGTACTCAACAAATGAGGTTTGGGCGATCGTCCCAGCAATGGCATTGTTGGAATAACCAAAGTTGAAACTTGCCGTTGCAGCCGCAAGTATAGTGATGATGTTGATCCAAGTTGTGTGCGGCTTCATAGGGGCATAGCTATCCCCAAGATCAGGAGTAGTAGACATGGTCACTGTTTATGACAGGTAGGAGCCTGGCTGGGGGAAGGGAGTCTTGACTGAAGATCTTGAGAACGAAAATAAAGAGTTTTAAGACCAGTCTGCACCTGGCTCGCTAGCGATGACCTGGGGAGCAGGACGGAGTCTTTAACCTCCACAATCTAAGCTCAATGCATGGGTGAAGCTGGGGTGAAAATTCTAAATCTCGGAAATTCTCCTCCA